GAACAGCGACCGGCCTCGTCAAGGCGCAGGCAGGGAAACAGACATGGCCACTCGGCTAATGCATGGAGGAAACCGAGGCAGAGCCACCCAGGCGTATTGCACTGGACAAACTGAGGTCTGTTCATTCTGATCGCGGCCTAGGATAGACTGAAACCCATTGCTCTCGGGGAAACCAGGACCTGGCTACCTGGGTGAGAGCATTTGGGGAAACTGAGGTCAGTCTCCATCAGGCACCGACAGCAAATCTAGGCCCAGCCTGGTCCACCCCACCGCCCGGAAGCCGGGTGCCCCAGGCACTGCTTCCTGAGTGCATGTGGAAAAGTCAGCTTCTACCTATTTTGGCCACGCTGAGAATCCCCCTCCACACACTGCATGAGAGACAGAACTGAGCCCCTGCCAGAACCGTGACTTCAGGGGGACACAGGACTGCGGTCACAGAATTAGGTCACTGGTACCTGATTAGCTGCTATCCAGCTCGATTCCCCTCTTCTTCAGCTTCTCATCCGGACCTCAACTCCAGAAGAATCTAAAGACCCACTCCACTTGGAGAGGGGGGAGCATGGAGGAGGGCGGGGTAGGCTAGCCATCTCCCACAACCCGGGTGACCAAGATCCAGCTCCCTCCTTCATCAGGTCCGGGAGCTCCTGCCCCAAAACTCAGGAGTCTGAGCCTCCAGCTTCCCTCCTTCCCAATCCCGGGAGTCAGAGACTACATCCTCTGCTCTGTCTGTCCAACCTCAGACTCAGAAATCCCAGCCTTCAGACCCCTGCTCCCCCAGAACCCGACAGGCCAGGCCCCCAGGACCCAGGAGCTGGGGCGCACAAGCTGTGGGCGGAGATGAATGGAGTTCCCCAGAGCCACTCCCTCGCACGCATCAGGTCAGACAGGTCCAGCTGGCCCAGCCGAAAGCAGGAGGGACTTTCATTCGCTTCCCCCCTTTCCCTCTCTCCCATCTGGCAGTGGCATAACCGGTTCTAAGAAGAGATAATTCCCAGCGCCACCCCATTTTCGGACTGTGTCTAAAGCCTGGGACTGGGGCCTTGGACTTCTGTGAGGAGAGAAGGCGGTGGGGGGGTGGCTGGGAGAGCAGGCAGCTGGGTCCCTTGGATCTTTGAACAGGTACATCTGGGGATCTAGACACCTGAATCCCAGCACTCAGAGGCCAGATTCCGGAATATGTTCATCAGAAGGCAGGCCAGCCTTAGGCCCCAAACCAACATGGTATCTAAAACCCAGAGCCTGGTCAGGGGATGCAACACAAGATGCTTTAAGGAAGCTGTTCTAGAACTTCAAATTCACTGAGAAGGAAACAAAAGACAGCAAGGCTGGGCACAGATCTAGAAAGCCACCAGCATGTAGATACAGCACAGAGTGCAAAAAAGAACATATCCATGTGTATAATGTGAGTTGGGTAAGGGCTGCACTTCGGGCATATTCTAGAAGCCTGTTCTGAAACGTTGAACCAGCCAAGAGCAATCAATCACTTAAAAGCAACTGGGTGACCTCAGAATGTTATCTAAGGATATACCTAGTGCCATGCACAACAAACCTCATCAGGAAACATGTTCTAGAATGAAAAATCTACCAGAGATGAGGGTATAACACGGTTTGCCATCTTGGTTTTCTCATGTGTCTGGAATAGATAATGCTAGAACTCAGAATGAAAAAGAGAGGCTCTAGAATTCAGGACATGCCCTGGAGGGGAAGAAAAACCTAGAAAGTAGCGAGGAGTTTGTCTGGAACTTAGTCGTGCCTGGGGGAAGATGTAGAAGGATGCAAGCTTGGAATTGAGAATTTACTGGCATGGGGCCTGAGCTGGCGAAGGAGAGATAGGGTGCTCCGGAAATGAGGACACTTCTAAGCTGAAGACTCCAGAAGAGGGGAGAGCCTAGAGCATGATTAGAACGCTGGTGTGGCAGGAAGAGCAGGAAGCCCACAGTGCACCAGGGGACAAGTTCTGAGCCAACATCACACGAAGGAAAAAGTGGGCGGAGAAGGTGGGAAGGGAATGGATGGGCCTGGAACCTAGAACCTGAGGAGGAAGATCTAAGGTAGAACGCTTCAGTGGGAGTCTTCTAGATTGTAGACTGTAGAACTGGCTGGAACCCGAAGCAGAAAATACATTCTAGAGTTGGTGGCACAATTCAAAGATTAGAGCACATAATCGGAAGATGCTCGTTCGAGAACTTAGAATGTCCCTGGGAAGAGAATGGAATGTAGAATAATGCCAAGGACATGGCTGGAACCTAGAACACACTTAAGATGAAATTTTAGCAGAGAACAAACAAGGACTGGGTCCTGTCCCAAGAGACAGTGGGATCAAAATGTGGTTTGCGGGGGGTTCTTTAGATATTCGAATTCATCTGGGAAAAGACACGCCTAGAATTTAACATCAAGCCTAGAACTGAGAGCACGCCTTGGGCGAAGATGGAACAGAGATTTTGACTGGGAATGTTTCAGGATCTAGAAAGAATCTAGAACGCGGATTGCTGCAAGGGCAATGTTTAACCGGAAATGTGGAAGGCGGTGAGTAGGTTCTAGATCATCTAAGGAGCTGAGGCCACAGAACACAATTGGAGGAAGGCATGTATGTTTGGCTCATAGAGAGTGTATTCAGAGAATGGGCCGTCACCATATGGGCCGCAGAAGGCAATGGGGTGCCAGAAATATCTCAAGAAGCTGGGTCTCAGGGGAGAGAATAGAGTCCCCGGGCAGCCCAGCAACTGACATGAAACGGGGATGAGGCAGGAGTTTGCCAAGACCGCTGGGAGGTGTCATGTTTATAGGGGGATGGTGAGACCAAGGGACCTGGGTCTCTAAGAGTAAGAGATGAGGAGCTAGAAACCTGGGCAGGAGGAGAGCGGATTCGGGGACCTG